CCTTCTTGGTGGAGGGTCCAATTGCCACACTGTATAATGGATAAGTTGGTCTGATCAAAATTAATAACTAGTTCTGGGGGGATCTCGTGGTCTGCCCTAATTTTCTTCACAGTCTCTATAAACTCAAGGCTCTGGTTTTCAAAATCGAACGGAAGCTTTCTTGCTGCTTTCGTCCCTTTTCTCCTGACAAAGCCTATCCTTTTTGAAAAGGATTCTGCCCAGGATCGGTCTAATTTTAGCTGTCTACCATTTTCTACCAAAAGTGATCTATTTTTGAATTCAATTATGCCTTTCGCTCCTGCAATTACAATTGTTCTATTTACAACAGATCAAGCTTCACGTAATTTGCGAATATATTCAATTACTTCGGGTTCAAACTTTCCCAAAAGTGTCGGTCTCCCCTGAGAACCTTTGGGTAAAACTGTTAGGTCTTTTTCACTTGACTTTACTTCCCGCAAGTAGTGTTGCTTCATTGTCCGTACTGAAGATTCGTTTATATTTTTTCCAAGAATTTTTGAGAAATGTCTTGCAGCACTGGTGTTACCATTTTCACAGGCCCATTTGGCAATTTTTGCTCTATCCTCGGGTGTGTAATTGGCATAACTTCCACGTTTACGTTTTCTGGGTGTTAAAACGTTTAAAACATGTTCGTTAGCACTTTGTATGCACTTTACTTTTTCTGGTGTCTTCTCGACGGCAGGATCTGGAAGTAAAGTTGAAATATCTGATATACATTGGCCATGGGCAACCCTCTTTGGGATAAGATATTTTCGTAACGACATGGTCAGTCCGTGTCAGTACAGCCAGTGACAATGTGAAGCACAGATCGTCGTGAATAATGCATAAGAAGTGCTCATGGTAACATTTTACCCACTTTAGGGGCGGATCGAAGATTTCAAATAGACACAACGCATAGAATGTCTTGAATAATGCGTAAGCAGTACTAACGGTAGCATTTTACCTAATTTAGGGGCGGATATAAGATTTTAATTTGATACAAAAAATACTTGTGGAAAAAAAAGACCACTTGTTCGCGGAAATAAATCGTCGTGGATCAGTTCTGTAGCGGTCAGTCGCGAATAAAAAATGACGCGTATAATAATTGGTTTACAGTAACCATGTACAGGGTATTCAATGTAATCCCTACTTTGTTCTCACTGCGACTGACCTTAGTCAATTAAAAATGGGTAGCAACACTTCCTCGCCATGTGCTCGGCACTTTGAAGTGAAAGTTGTGGGTCCTTCGGATGCGACCTTAAAAAAAACGAGGCCCCGTGTCAGCGGCAGGCGTTGGCACGATTAAAATCCCTCACTGCTCAGTGGTCCTGAGTGCCGAGTAAAGTTCAAAAGTTGAAGCCCTTCACCGGCATACGGTGACGTCTCCATATGAGTGAAAAATTCTCGAGAGGGACGTTAAACAATAAACAGTCAATCAATCTACTAGCCTTCTAGACTGGCACGCAAACACTTACATGAGTGGTTAGCACATTCAGTCTTGGTGACATCTCTCCCCATACCGGAACCTGCTCCTGGACACGTGCGAACACAGAACTATCCCCATCCCCTATGTATCTCATGTAACGCACTCCATGGACCTCTTCTGCCCTTTAAAAGCCTTCTAATGTGATGTCTGCTTCCATGGCCTGACTGCTCTCACTCCAGTTTTTAAAACAGTTATGCTTATATTCTTTGTCACCCTTGGACTGCCCTACTGCAGATGTAGCAGTACCGATTCTTCACCCCAATATGTAAAAGTTTTCCGGTTTCCGCCCCAAATATAACTGCTATACCTCCTAACGCTTTGTAATTATTTTTATGTGATCGTTTGGACCAGCCACGGTCACACACAACAGAGATGGCAGGAACCGCATGGTGAAAATCGTTCCGGGCAATGGCTAAGCTCTTCTCTTTTTCCCCCGTTTTTTTTTTTTCATGTCCTCTTTCCGAATGTCCCTCCATGCATTCCCGATTACTGTTTCAATCTTAGAGTATCTGTTTGAAAGAATACCTGGTATTCCCATTGTACCTAAAAGTTCATTTAAACTGGATACGCCACCTCCAGATGCAATGGACCCCCATACACTGCGTATATTAATATCACTTTCCTTACGGTTGGTCTGGTAGGTACTAGTGGTTAATTCCAAATCTTTAGTACGTTACATGTTAATTTAAGAGTACTAAAGAGTCCACGAACACTACATTCAGAAAAAGAAAATGATGAAATTCCAGACATTGTCTGAGGGACAAATTTTGTACACATCGCCCCATGAAAATTTACAACAGACACAAATTTAGAAAGCTGATTGACATTGATTACTCTGTAACCATCTGGAGTTTAAAAAAAATGGCTTTCGAAACTATTACCTTGGCACCTAATGAACCATACTGCAGTCCTCTCAAAGGGCGTGGCTTACTTTTACTTTGCTGTAGTCTTTTCACAGTAATTCTTAAACCATTGAGAAAAAATTGTTGAACAAGCCTGTATGAAGATTTCCTCTTTATAAGTTGCTGAGATGTGTATTTTGTTCCCTACTTACTACTTGCTTTACCTGTAACAATGTGTTTGGTGTTTGCTGGTTTCTGTCTTCTTTTGTATTTCATTGAATTGACACCTCTTGCACTATTAAAGCGACGATGGCGAAATTTGGGACAACCCATTGCAAGAGCAAAAAATACATAAAGTGCATACCACAAACCAAAATGATTAATTATATAGACAGTGAACTTATTTTAAATACCATAAAATACATGTACTAGTATCACATTTCAAAGTAAAAATGAAGACCAACTCCAATATTCCAGGAAAGTCATGAGAATTTTGAAAATGTGTTCACTCAAAACAACTTTACAATATTACAATTATCTCACCGTAATTTCATGCAGTGATTTTACTATCTGCTTCACTGTCACTGGATGTTAAACAGAGGGTATCAGGGGCTCAGTGCAGGTATATAACATAAAAGTACTTACCTCTTTTTAAATGTAACTAATTAACTTTTGTAAAAGTTACCTGAAGGAATCCCACACTATCTACACGTGGTATATAACACATACAAGACTAGTATTGGATCAAGCGTGTAAATATTTAAAATTTATCTGAATGAATGAGATCACAGGTAAAGATGTAGAGAGGGAGTGATGTAGATCAGGAATTTTGATTTTGTTGGAATATCTAACACAATCTTTTTACAATTAAAAATAAAGTCAACGAATTTCAACCTACCGACATGCCACTTTCACTTTCACCGGAAGCCTACAGACAGCTCAATGGAAAAGTACTACGCAAAGGAAATAAAGCTTTATTTTCCAAAACACGACATGCGTTTTCATCCAATATTAAAACAAATTAATTACTAATTAATCTTGATTTCTTTAAATATAGTATGTGCTAACTAATAAATATCTTTACAAGTCCTAACTGCACTCCGGAACTGCTAAAATTCGACGCGTATGAATATATGGATAGCAAATGTAAAATTCAACCTAGTCACTCTCCCGAGATGTGGTAAACAATTATATTAAACATCATAATCTTGGTTTACGTTTCAATGATTAAAGATTAAGTAAATAAACATGTGTTTGAAGTTTGTCTGTAAAAATGTCGTGCGTGATCGAGGTACTCAAGGCATCAGATTTTAGAAACGCTTCGTTTTTGTGTAACCGAAATGGCAGGTTGCAAAATTTTGTGTGTTTCATGACACAATGAAAAATGAGCAAACATATAAATATTAGGCATTTACTTGCTTGGAACGAAACAAATAGTTGTATACCTATGACAATTAAATTTCTAACTATATATCAACTGAGACGTACTTTCATCTTGAAGAACCTGCATGAGTGCAGACTCGCACGTGAAATATGCACATCATAGCTGCAATGTTGTACAAGTCTCGAACAAAACTGTCCATATCTCATGATATGTTTCATAAGAGAGATAATAAAGATCAGTTTTCACTATTAAGAAAGCATTTTTTATGAAGATATTTAGATTTTTATTTTTTTGCGAGTCTCACATGGTTGCACACAAAAGCAAACCCTTAACTTCTGTATTATGCGGAAGATTTTCCTGGAAGCTGGTTTTGATAAATCGAATATTAAAGAAACTTGTTTTATTCATTCCAGTGTTCATTATTTCAACTGAATATAAGCAAAAACAAAAAACAAAAAAAAAAAAAAAAACAAAAAAAAACAAAAAAAAAAAAACAGTAATTTTCTTAAAAGAATTGGTTAAACCTCTAAAAAGTATAATATAAGAATATTTATTGAAATAAAATATAACTATCACAACAAATACAGTCAAATATTGTTTACAAAATAGATTAAAGTGATGAGAAAATTACCGATGAATATTAACAAAATAGTCAAGGGAATGCGATATAGAAATAGTTATTTATCAGGTAAACCATATGTGCCTCATGTGGCTTTTTCTGTAGATCCAAAAAAAAAAATTATTTAATAATTTAGGTGTATCTTCATAAATGTTAACAAGACATTTAACTTTATACAGTCCGGGTAATTGCTCTAGGAGTTTATCAACAATAAATACCACGTGCTTCGTGATGCTTATTCCGTTTTCCGATTTGTCTTAATTTCTTGTGTTTGTTCTTTCTTAAGGATGATTTAGAATCATGCGGTTTATTCCGTAAAAGTGTAAAAAAAAAAAATAAATAAAAAAAGAGTAAAAATAATTTGCGTTTTCGTGGTACTTTTTCTTCTCAAATTATAATGCGTTTTAGGGTTTTGATTTCTTTTGCGTTCATTTTTGTGTACGAGTCTGATGTTTTTTTAAGGAGTTTTAATATCATGCGGCTAATTCCGTAAAATACGATAATATGCTATCAATACAGTAGAAGTACCCCAAAACGTAGCAACACGCTGCAGATAACAGAAGAATCCTTGAAACATACGTGGAAGCTTCTTGTGTTCAACGAGAGTGAATATATGTTTTACATTATACATTACAGAAAGGTTTTTATTACTTAGGTACATGTATATTTATGAACAAAAAAAGCAATAAATAACAAGCAAGAAAAACAACATCGAAATCTTGAAATTAATATTCTAAAAAATATGTGAAACGTCATCAAAACATAAATAATTATGGACAAAATTCTGTTTTTATAATATAACAAATCCACTGAAAAGAAGGAGGAACCATTCATTTTTTTTTCATCAAGCTATTCGTGGCAAAACTTCTACGCTTCAAAGAAGTTTTTTTTCTGTTTTTCGCTGGGTTTTCATTTTTATGATATACGTTAAAAACACGTACATGACAAATATTCCTTTTGCATAGTAGAACAAGTAGCACCTATCTCATTCATTTTAGCTTTAAAACCTCTGCAAAAATTTCTTCAAATAGCTGTTGACTATATACAACATATCGAACACGTAAACGAACATTTAACATAATAAGTAGAACATATAAAATTTTTGAACAATCACGTACTTTTCTTGAGTATATGATAGGCATTTGTAAATTTATACATTAATTCAAATTGGAAATAGTTGGCTTTTAATTTTGGTTATTTTTTTCCTGATAAACGTTTATAGATGCTTGGAACGGCGCGAATTCCTGACCTGCTGCATTGTAATGGCACCAACACAAGTAATCATTATCTTTATTCATTTCCCTCTTTTCTCAACGGAATGTGTCGCAATAAATGAATACAGTAAACACAAAAGGCGTCGTGGATATCTGATTCGTCTTGCCGCTCCCGGCGTAGACGTAGGACGAAGATGCAGCTAAAAAAAATTTGACGTTTATTTGATAGAGATGTAATTTTATATTTTTACAGAGAATGTAAAGAGGTAAGCAAACACTGTATTTAAGATGAAACTCCATGTTTCTAATGTTGAGCACTTGACCTAACTATGGCAATATTTTCTCTTACTTACTAAATATAATACTTTGCCTGTCAGAAATTTCTGATTCTTGGTTTAAGTGTTAGAAATAAAATCATAAAATATGGATACTACATGTACAAGTATTTTTTTAGATTTAAGTGTAAAATTCATTAATTTTGCGTACGAAGTTTATCAAACAAGATGTATTGTGAAAACACTCTGACCACCGATGTAAACAATTCTTGAGCGAGACGTAGACTGAAGTGGTATACACTTGCCAATTACAGCGCAATAGTTATGGGCAAGGTTTAAGTTGACATCAGACAGACAGACAGGGCAAAACCAATATACCCTCGGGACCTTTCGATACGGGGGCATAAAAAGAAATGCCTGCAACATTAATTAAATAGTAAAACAGCACTGAGTACTCCAGAAGCCAAAACACTTATGTTCCTTTGGAGTTTATGTGACCCATGTGTGCCAGAGTAAACATGGCTGCTGAAGTAATCATTCTTCTTAAGTCTTTAATACATACGGCCACCTTTAAAATAATGTTTGCCTGCCCCTCCTCGACCAAGGTTAAACAAGAAGCCCAAGGGCCACATCGCTCACCTAAGCACTAGGCTAGGAAAAAGCACAAATTATATCAGAATTGAAAAGGGGGGGGGCTTGAATTTTGATACAACTTGAAAAACCTCAATATTAATACAGCTTATAACGTTGCTGTTCTTTAGATATATGACTAAACATAGCTTTTCTGTTCTTGGGATTTTCCCCTTATTTTCCTTTTGTAAAAATTTATCCACCATTGAGACCCCACCCTACTCTTGGGGGTTATGATTTGAACAAATTAAATTCTACACTACCTGAGAATGCTTCTATATAAACGTCACTAATCATGGCTTTGCTATTCTTTCTAAAAAAAATAATGTTAAACTTGGATCCCCCATTACCTTGGGGTTATGATTTGAACCAACTAGAATCTACACTACCTGATGATGCTTCCATACAAATATCACTAATCATGGCTTTGCAGTACTTGAAAAGATTTTAAAAGATTTCCCTACACATTCCTATGTAAAACTTTGATTGGCCACTGTGGCCCCATCCTACCCTGGGGGTCATTATTTGAACAAACTTGAATCTACACTACCTGATGATGATTTAACATGAGTTTCATATTTCCTGTCTCAGTGGTTCTTGAGAAGATTTTTAAGATTTTCCCAAACATTCCTATGTAAAACTTTGATTGACCATTGTGGCCTCATCCAACCCCCAGGGGTCATGATTTGAAAAAATTTTTAATCTACACTACCTGAGGATGATTCCACATGAGTTTCATCTTACCTGACTCAATGGTTCTTGAGAAGAAGATTTTTAAAGATTTTTCCTACCATTCCTATGTAAAACTTTGATCGGCCATTGTGGCCCCACCCTACCCCTGATGGTCATGTTTTGAACAAATTCAAATCTACACTACCAGAGTCTGACTCCACATGAGTTTCATCTTTCCTGTCTCAATGGTACTTGAGAAGAAGATGTCTTTAAGACTTTTCCTACGTATTCCTATGTAAAACTTTCATCGATCATTGTGGCCCCACCCAACCCCTGGAGGTCATGATTTACACGAACTTGAATCTACACTATCTTAGAATGATTCCAAATGAGTTTCATCCTTCCTGGCCCAGTGGTTCTTGAGAAGAAGATTTTTTAAAAATGCCATTTATTTTTCACAAATTCATGATTATCTCCCCTTGAAAGAGGGCGTGGCCCTTTAATTGAAAAAAAAAACTTGAATCCCCTTTACCTAAGAATACTTTGTGGTAAGTTTGGTTGAAATTGGCCCATTGTATCTTTAGAAGAAGATGAAAATGTGAAAAGTTTACAAATATAACAACAACGACAACAGACAACGGACAAATTATGATCAGATAAGCTCACTTTAGCCTTCGGCTCAGATGAGCTAAAAAGTTGGGTCGGTTTGTAGGTTAGAAAATACTGTAAATCGTTTTAATTCAACGGTGTTAAAATTTCACGATATCTCAAAAAGTATCAGTTGCGATGGTTTTAATTTCGCGCTGCAAGAATTTAATTCGAATTTCGTATAAGCATTTAAACGTTTTTAGAAACTAATAATAGCATTAACGATGGGTTTAATTTCGCGGAATAATGATAAATCGCGAAAACAGCGAAATTAAAACCATCGTGATTATTTGCTAATCTACAGTATCTTTTTTTCAGAACATTACAATGCTCAATCTTTAAAATCTAATTCCCAGAATACATGAAAAAATTGCTTCAAGGAGATTTATAAGAGTTTTGAGTTTTGGCCAGTCGATCAAAGAGGGTAACCAAACAATTTTTAAAAGGTAGCCTTTCAATAAGATTTAATTGCAGTTTTCTCACTTGTCCTTCTACGAGTTGTCGCTCTTGTGGTTGTTTGCTTTGGCGATGTTGGTATAGGAGTAGTGGAACTTGTCGTGTCATACGTTGTCATTGTATTTGTAGGATGGGTTACTGTCAATGTTGTAGCTGTCGTTGATGTCAGCTCTTCAGCCTTAATGTTTGTGGATTGTTCGTCGAATTTACAACTGATGTTCATTTCTGCTGTGTATGGCCTTGTTAACTGTAAGCCGTTCTCTAAAGCTGAAAATAAGTTACATTACCGATTGAAATTTATACGAAATATAGTACTTTTTTTCCTTTAAGCGGGTTATTGCCATCTCAAAATAATTCAATACGTGCGACCGTTATCATTTGAGTACTCCGTTTAACAGCTATACTTGTATTGTAGAGAGTCACCTTCAGCCTCTCCGAAACAGTGGTTGGTTAGATTAACTATGTTCCACCAGCAATGTGCCAAGTCTTGTTTATCTACAATCCGTATACCCTTTTCCGACATCTTGAACGAGTCATGCTCACATGTAATTGTAACATGAGAACCATTATGGTAGGCCGATGTCCTAAAACCACTAACTGAAAAGATACCACATACACATTTACACTCGTTATTGTATAATCGTTCTATAGTAATTTCTTTATTCTTAAACAACTAATGAATAAAAAAATGAGATTTTGTAAGCATGGACTTTTGTCATAAAGTCAATGTTTTTTTAATTGGAAACCATAATGATATGTATTTGTCCGATCAACACATTCAAAAGGGTTACAATGCCTTATAGAGAGGGGAGTAAAAGGTACTTGCATTGGACACAGATTTGAAATTATTATTTTCTCTATAATATTACGACTTATATATTTTAATAGCATTTCACACAAAAATTAATTAAAAATCTTATTTCATATAAAAGATATTAAAATTTCAAATTTTTGGGCGGGTTTGATTGGCATATCCTTGCATTTTCACAAATCAATTTTATTCTTAATCCTTAGGAAAAGTGGCAATCTCGTTGTGTATAAATGAAAAATATTAATACAGAAAATTCAGAGTAGACATGTTCGAAAGGAAAACAAACAAACAAACACTATATTGTCAGTCCGTGCAGTTGTGGTAAGCAGACTGTGACGATTGAACGCACCCGGTGAATTGAAAACATCAACAAAAACAGAACTCGTGCCCTGTTTAGAAAAACTGTGTACATACATGTCACACGAGTGTGCTCGATTTGCTAAACTCTGTACGCAACTCTTAGTTCGGAATGACTATACTTGTGAAGGAGTTTTGCTTTCTAACATTTCTACTCTGAATAAAATTTTTTTCTGGATAAAAGTTTTAATATTTCTCATTAATACACAACAAGATTGCCACTTTCCCTAAGGATTAAGAAAAAGGTTAAAATTTGTGAAAGTGCAAGGATGTGTCAATCAAACCCGCCAAAAAAATTTAAATTTTAATAACTTTTCAAGAAAATAAGATTTTTAATTAATTTTTTGTGTGAAATGCTATTAAAATATATAAGTCGTAATATTATAGAAAAAATATTGACTTCAAATCTGTGTCCAAGTACCTTTAAAGATTCAAAATTCCCGTATAGTTGGATTTTAAGACAATGTAGATTTAGCTACTTGTCCTGGAAAATTATTTAATATTAGCAAGATGTCATTTTAGTCATTGTTGGTGACTAGAAAGAGATAAGTCCAGACTTGAGAAGAAGATAACGAAGAAAGGGCAGATAACATTCCGAGTCTATATTTACCGAATTAATATTCGGATGTGAAAATAAAGGTAAAATAGGGAAACTTACCACATGGTTTTAGTAGGACGTTCTCCTTCGTATTATTTTGATTATGACATGTAGCGTTAACCCACAGTCTATAGCCTGCGTGATGTGTGTGATTAAACTCTGTAATAAATACCAAAAGTCCACTGCTGCCGTTATAGAAACTTTTCACATTGTTTCCATTGAAGCAATTTATATTTCCACTATTATTGTAGCATTCTGCCAAGCTGTTCTGAGACAGTCTTGACACAATGTTTATCCGGACGATGTTCACGTGACATTCCATTAACACCTCAACCCGCAGTTCTTCGGCATGACAAGTCCTTTTTCTAATTCCTCTTCATTTCTGATTATACCTTAAACAAAGAATGTGAAAAAAAAATGATTTTAAAGTTTCTCCTACCATGTAAGTATTAAAACAAAGGCAAGAATCACAAGATATCTAATCAATTGATTTTTACTTACATAGTATCTTACAATGAGATGCCTTTTTTTCTTAGCGTTCTAATTTTCTATGGTTGTGTGGATCCAGGAGATCCAAGAAATCATATTCTCATTAAAGTGTTTAATCTCTTAACTGTGGTACCAAGTCCAATCAATTTACACAGTCACGAATTAATTATCCTTTCCAACAATATTTTTCCTACAGTACTGCTCAATGTACGAAATATAACTGTGTCAATGTTCTGTTATAACTAGAAGCACGTGCTGTCAAAACAATCCTATGGTTCATTGCAGTAGATTTTTTATATCAAAAACCTCATGCCCATCTTGTTAAACACGTCTTATCTATTTATATTTGGTAACATTTCTAATTCTTAAATAAATATTAATTTTATGTAAAAGATAAAAATCTAAAATAAAATTATATTACTGTCCTTTTGATAAAAAAAATAGGTTTGTACGAATTCTTTCATTTTAACTCCTTGTGTTATATTTCTAAAGTACTGTCAGCAGTAAATGTAAACAATTTTTCTTTTTTTGTTTCCTTGAGAATTGAAATCAAGCAATACGCTTATTGCGCAAACAAAAATATTTATTTAAATAAGATAGCAACAAATAAGTTAAACACTGCAAATCTTAAGGGAGGGGATTACGCATAGCAAAAGGCATACTTCAGATTGATAAGGTTGATAGGGGATACTTTCTGTTCATCCCAACTCAGTTTACAGGAAGGAAGCGACTGTGTCCATGGTTTGGAATTTTATTGATTTTAAAAAATGAACACATTCCTTATTCTTAAAATTCATTTCCAGCCAATACACCTTACTAAAGTTTTGTACAGCAGATTTGTACACCTGTCAACAGAATTTCATTTTAAAACGCCTTCTTACCTTGAATTAAAATAACTCCTTGAAATATCAATAATGTTGGCAGTAGAAACAAAGTCATTTCCTGATATTTCTTAACAATATTTTGACCCTTTTACTAGATCATGTCGTAGTACCATGAATTTACGAAGCTCTTTCAAAATAACATGTTAACGTTCTTCATGTCTGTTATTCTACAAAACGTAAAACAAAATTTTCAATTTCATTTCATTGTATAACCGTTGACTTACTTCCTCTTTAAAGGGTTTAAAGGTCTAAATTCCATTTCGATGTATCATGCAAGTCTTATCGATCCAGCATTTATTCCATGTGTTGTAGAACAATTCATCCAAGCGACAAATGATTTTATATTGTTTTTATCTACAATGCTTTAATTTTGCTTTCATTTGACATTCAATCCACAGTAAATCGCTTTCAAAATGTGACATATTTTTGGCAAATGAACAATTGTCTTGATTATCACTTTGTAAACTTCTTGTATATGTCTGCATGGGTTTCTATACAAACTTCAGAATGATTTTTGTACAGGTGATCTATTTCGCTAAAAAATTCACTTGTTTTTCGACAAATAATCAGTTAAGAAAGTAACTAATTAAGATCTTTTTAAAATGCTAAACGGGGTCCCTCCCCAGTAGTTTGTTTTTATTTTAATATTTGTTGTATTATTTTGAAAGATCCCTTAATAATCTTTTATCCAGAAATATTATTATCTACAATATTTCTTTATTTAGATTTTCTTTAGTTAAAGAAAGAGTGGATACTAAATATATTCATACCTCTCCAGTCGTTTTCATGGATGATTGTAGAATGTCTTTGGCAGATATAAAGTGTGCATTATTGCTCAACATGCAAAGTTTATGGCGTGATAAAATTACAATACACTACTTTACCCTCTGTTAGCCCGTGTAGTATCATTTATTAGATAATATGGGTTTAGGTGACCTTTCTGATCTTTTTTTATTAACAGGTCGTAAATATTTGATGAGAGATTGTTTCCAAAGTTATTGGCTATATATATAATACTGCACATTATTTGAATGATTTATTACCGGTACTTTAAATATATGCTGTTTTTTTAAATCTCAACATTGATGTATAATAATACATTTAGGTAATTTAACAGTTTGTACTTCGCCGTCGTATTTTCCTCTACTAATGACATTTATGTAAAGGGTTTTGTGTTCCAAGGTCAGCTCACCGCAAAATATAACATGACTGAAATCCTAAACTAATATATTAACTTTAAAAAACCGAATGTGCAACAATGCAAGTTTAAATCGCCACATTTAAAGACTGCCGAGTAACAAAACTGTGATGTATTATTTTCACAATTACGTATCAGTTATTTCACTGCATTTACTAGATATCTGTCCTTTATTGTGAAACAATGGACATGGAAAGCATTGATAAATGTACCTTAACAAATGTTAATCTATATAATTTTTGAAAGTACAAAATCTAATTACCTGTTCTCTTCACCGTCTCTGCGACAATTTGTAAACATAGATAAAACTGTGATAAACTTTAAGTACGCGGATACTTAAAAATAAATGGATATATATATATATGATTTAAAATTTGTATTTGAGTTAATAGAACTTTAAATCGATTATAAAACCAAGGCTGTTTTTTAAATGTTCACATGTTACAAGGTAGTTGCGAGTAGGTGAAAAAAAATAATTGAATACAAAATGCATAGATAATTCTATGAACGTAAACACAAACACGCCAATTTTCATCCACATGTAGTGCTGACTGAAGGAGGTTTGATATAGCAAAGTAATTCTCTTTCCAAAACAAAAATCCCTAATTATCTATTTCATTAAACTTGTCTTTCAAAATAATGTCTTGAGAATCAGCAAGATATCAAAATTTTCAAGCACCTAAATAATTTACCTTTCAAAGCTTTGCTCTTTAAAAAAGAAAAATCGGAAAAAAATGAATATTTACTCAGACCGTATGTATCACTTTCCGCTGCGCAGAAAAGTATACTCGCTTTCCTACAGCTATGTCATGTTCTTAAATTTACTACACCATCAGTTTTAATCACCAATCAGCTAAATCAATAAACTTTGTATAATACTGCTTACCTTAATTGACTCTGAATTGCTCAAACTGATCAAAAAAGAAATGAATTGTTCATATGTTCCAAGTCATATTCTCATTTTATATACACGTATTCGGAATCCAGTAAAAGGGAAGCAAATCGAGCAGTGTTTTCATGTGTTTCTTACCCCGTTTAAAAGGCTGTGTTTTTGACATGCTTCCATTGACTTTTCTGTTACTTAATTGTAGCGGAAACGCACGACGATGTCAGTTAGTCGGATTTTTTTTTGTTCATTTCTATTTTTTTCCTGTCATAATTATATTATCTTAATACGCTGAATTTAGGAAGTTGAAAGTGAGTCAATAAATAAATTTCTAAAATTTGTAGAAATTCTAAATCACTGTTATAAGCTAAAGACTACACATGTAACATTGTCAGATAGGCTGTTTGAGGTAAAAATCAGTAAAACGCCGGACATTAATTTTCTGACCAAAAGGCTGACACGAAAAAAAAAAAAAGCTCTTATTGACCTCTAACAAATTAAACATTTTTTTTATATTTGCAAAGGTTTACATTAATTAATATTAAATAATTTATCCGGTCAAATTAGGCTATGGAGGAAGGAATTGACCTGCAATTATTTTGAAATATTTAAATTATTTTTCTTTATTAAAATGTTTTTACCACAACCCTTTACATACCCCCACCCCCAAAAAGAAGATTGTTTAATTTTCCAGATAAAAAAAACTTTAAATGCTAAAAGATTGTTTAATATATCAAAATTAGAAAAAAAAAGAACTATTCAAAAGGTGATGAATGAAGTTTTCAAATGAATTGAGCACCTGTTACCCCCAAAATACTGGTTTTGATTATATCCTTAAACAATATTAATCAGTTCTTTAAAACATGCTTTATGCATGGAAACATGATTGTAAGCATAAGTCCTACACTGAAGAAACAAGTACAAATATTATAAGCCTTGGTTCAATGTTTCTATTTTACATCATTAAATATTTATTTCTTCATGTCATCAAATAATTTTGTGAACTTCAGATAATTTTGGCTCATGGCAAACTTATTTTCCCTGTCTTGCAGGATTTACACCTGCAAAACACAAGGATCTGGTAATTCTTCAGATATGCCAGATCCCAAATGTAATTTGTAAACATGAGGTAGGTAAAGACATCTTTGAAGTCTGACGGTACCTCCATCTATACCCCGCCATCAACTATAAAGGCATTGCATATCCCTGTCCTGGCACATCATTGTACAAATATTAGTCTCGAAAGGTCTTGTGTCTTGTTTGTGATTGTCTTCATTTCAGTAGGCTGAAAAAATAATCAGAGGAAATGCATTGCTGTTATAAAGAAGTTCTATCCAGCATTACGTGTACATTCAAAATTCTTTCAGTTATATGTAGTAAATCAAATTTAATTGTTAACCTTAATGATCATCATAAGGGGATTTTTCAAGACTTCTCCTTGTGGAAGAACGAGACTTTCTTTTCCAACTGCTTAAAACGTCGAAGCTCCACAGAAAGACTGCTAACAATAAATGTTGCAATAAAATGTTTCCAAAACTGAAACATGAACATAGAGAAAAATGAAACACGAGCAGCAAATGAATTTCTGAACCAAATTTTCATACCTTCAATTCAGGTTCAGACTTGGTAAATTGATTGGTTGTAGATATTTCAACGCCGAGTCGGCAATTTTTCAGCCATATTTCGGCGGACTATTAGTTTAAATGATCGTTTTTTGAAAGTTTTTAGTTTATTTGGCGGCCCCCAGTGAGCCTACTGTTTTTCGAACTCCAGAGAAACGATCTTTTACGTACGAAGGGGGTTGTCATCCTTGGCAAGGGGCACCATTTAACGTCCCGTCCGACGGACTTAAATTAGTTTTTAAAATATGTCAACCGTTAAAAATATTGTGTAAACTGTTAATAAAATAAATTCATATATATACATGCATTTCTCATTCAAATTACTTTCAAAATTTTATTCAAATTTTACTATAATAATCAGTTTCTTGTAGATAATTTAAAATTTAAATCACATGCATCCTCAAAATTGCTCCCCCCCCCCCCCCCCCCCGGAAGAGAATTTTCCTTAAATCACATGTATGTAAATTCAAATTATTTATACGGAATTTTTAGCACAGGTTTTTTTTGTTTTGAATTTTATTGAAAAGGTAGAGAAAGAGTTTTCCACATGAAGCCTTATGTCAAGAAAGAGGACATTGCAGAAAACTGGGCCGAAACCTTATCTCATTTAGATAGGGCTTTCAAGTCTGAAGTAGACTTTTTGGAAGTGTAAAAATAATGTATGAACTTTTTACAAATGTTGATGTTTATAAAATTTTAAATTTAACGTTTTAAAAACAAGAATAAGTTGACGAGGACATATACACATTGTGCAAAACAAAATGAAAACTTTCAACAAAGGACTTGTTGTAATGATATGAAACTGTTTTCCTTTCAAGTTTCTCATAAATAGCCGTCACATTCGTTTCCCATCATTTATTTCCACCAACATTGGTATTGGAAAGGGAAAAGATTGACTACAACAAACAAAATAAACAGAACTTACAATGATGTACATTATATTAGTGACTGAAATGACGAATGACAATATTGAATTGACTGATGATACTGAGTACAAAAATTACAAATACTTTATATCATAAACTAGTAAGGCATGATAGTGATGATTAATTGAAGTGAATAGAAATTAATAAATGACTTTAACATCTAACCTGTGAGTATGCTAATTTACATCATATGCTCAAACTGAAGATTAACCTCATTTACTCCAAAAATACAGTATACAAGATATGAAGTTAACACTGCACTCAGACAACCATAAAAAGGTAATTATGGTTGTAAAAAGGTGATTATTTTCCAACTCGTCCAAAAATATAAGATAAAACAGCTCAAAATCAGAACAGCTTTTGGTAAACATCGAAAATCATGCAAACATGGCAGGTTTACACGTCAGAATTGAAAATTCCTATTCTGATAAACCTGGGAAAATAAATGAATCCTAATAAATTTGGACAATGACACATAATCAATCTTACACTTGTGATTCTGTGTTGCCAGAGATGTACTTTGTAAACAAA